AAAAGTCAAGTTGAATCTCATTTTCCTTATCTTACTTCATCTTCTTCTATTTTGTTGTTCTTTCTTTTCTTTTTCCTTCATCTTATCCTTTATATAAGTTATTTTTCTTCTCTTTTTCTTTCCAAGTAACATAAGATATTTAAACAAAATCGATATTGCAAGTGAAGGAGCAGAAGAAGGAGACCTAGAAACCAAAATCAAGAGCTTTGAAGAAAAAGAGTGGACGTGTAATCAAATGGTGAAATCAAAGGTTTTAAAACATAACAATAAAAACTAATATATAGTTAAGTTTTTATTGACATCTAACCTTTATCTTACAAGTTTTAAAACCTAACATCTTAGATCGTGATTTTGAAGCTCTTCTGCAATAAATGGAGTTCAACTCGATCTCAATTGTTTCATGCTCCAAAGACCACTGAATGATATAAAAGGAGTTATTGAATTAGCCTCATTCATGTACCCGCATCTTTAATTAATTTTTGTTTTTTTGTTTATTTTTTTTATTTTTAGTTCTATTCATCTTCAAAAGTTCAATGTATATTTCATTTTTCAGTATATGGTTGCATTACAAAATAATCAGATGAAACAATATTTCTTAAATTCACTCTTCTCTAAACTTTTAATCTTGCTAAGGCTATTTTTGATAAAACAATAATATTGGCATGACAACAACAATAATAAGCAAAGAATGAGTGTTGGAAATGTATTGAGCCACACTACAGGAAAATTTTTCATTCAAATATTTAAATAAAGAAACTTTTACTTTTGAATCCTTACGATGATTACACAGGTGTTGAATTATTTTGACCACTTTATCCTTGATTTTTTAATATGTTTTAAACAAATAAATAATTATTTTATTTGATTAAAATACACGATATAGTCTATTTATATTTTCTCCATCTCCACCCCCTCATCTTGTTCCTTGTGATTGTAGATTTTTTTAAAAAAGAATAAAAATTTGTTATTTTAATAGTGTCACTTTCACTATGGATGGTGAAGATAAGGTAAATTTTGTGGTGACTGACTACAAGATGAAATAACTAAAAGAAACGTGATTACTTTATAATATCTAAGGTTGCTATTAATATAATGTCTGCATTAATATATGTTATAGAGTATGTATAGATTTGATATATTGTAGGAGAATATGCGAGATATCTCTCTCTCTTAAGTTTGAATTTGATATATTTGGACAAAGAGGCATTTTCCTTTTGTTCTATTGCATCTATGTTGTCTTAGTGAACTTTACTTATTGCCAACTTTCTTCATTTAGTTTTTACATAAATCTGACACGGATACAGTCTTAATATGTTTGCTTAGTGCAAAGAAATATGTCTCATGTTTGTTGTAATCACCTGTCTTTATGCAGATTATGTTCAAACATAATTATAGGTTGTGTTCAACCATTTTATGCAGATTATTTATTGTTATTGAGTAAACTTGCTTGAACACCATACAAGAATACAATCAATGAAAATAGATTTGAACGACTTGTAGGTAAGTAAAGGAGTATTTGATATTAACAAGTTAGTACAATATGGGTCTATTAGGACAAGAGGAAAAATAGAAGAAGTGAAAGAAGTCAAAGAGGAGAAAAAAAATAGAAGTTAACAATGTAATTATCATTGTATCATTCATGGTACTGTGTTCATGCATATGCAGTATGATATAGTTATAATTTATTCATTGTTTCATAAGAGAGAGATTTTTTGGTCATTTATTTGTTGTTATTTATTTAGTATGATGATCTTAATTTACGATAATTTTATTTCTTTATACTTCATTTGTTGTTGCTACTTTGTCAAATATGCTATTGTCTTATGTTTTAGAGGGTGAACACAATCAAACTTATTGTGTTATTGCTATAAAATAGATTGAACATTTGAGGCTTTGAAACATATTTCACTATTTAGTTTACAATGTCAAAATAAAAGCAATGAGATCATCTATGTTAAATTATAATTGTATTGTTTATGTTGTTACCATGATTAGTTTTCAATAAATTGAGGTCAAATCATGACATTAGGGTTATCGTTGTAATTCTCTCTTCCCTTTTTCAATGACTTCAACTTTGAATTGTGATGCGATTGCAAAGATGTTTAAAAATGTAAAGGGTGCATTGCATTTTAATTAGGATGAGATGATCTAGTGACGATTATGACAAAGTGAAGATGGTAGATGAGTTTATGTCTAAGAAAGAAAGAGACTTATTTTGATTCATGGCTTATCTGTATGCATTCTATGCGTGATAGATATGAGTGGGTATGTGCATTTAGTTCATGATGAAAGAGTTGAGGAGGATAATGAAAACAACAACTTTGCCCAAGAGTTAAAAAGGATAGCGAGAACAATGACTTTAGCTTGTGACTTACAAGCTCTTAGTAGCTGATGAGATTCTACGTCTAGGTTTTGATGGGTTGAAGACGTTGACAGAAACATAGAGAAAGTGACGGAGCCGACCGAAAATGTTAGTAGCAACAGTAACAAAAATAGATCAAATTAATCCTTAATACTATGTAAAATGACATTATTGTTTTAGTATTTTATATGTCACTTAAAATGAAATTTCAATATAAAGTTAAAATTTCTTCGACATTTGATAGTTTTAAGAATAGACTATTGTATTATAGACTAACAAAACATATAATATTAATTACTGTTACTATGAATTAATTTATGAGTTTATTTTATAAAAAAAATTAAAATAATTAGGACATAAAAACTGAATAAAAATATAATAGAATCAAAGTATAATATTTTAAGTTTAATATATGCTTAGACAACAAAATATACAATATTATTTTATTCTTATTTTTTTATTTTTAATCTAAGAGCATATTTGATTATTGTTTTAAAGATAATTTCCTGTTTTTAAAAATAAATTCTAATACAAATTTATATTAAAAATTATTTTTAAAAATAAAAAAAGTATTTTCAAAATAGTAATCAAACATACTCTAAGTCTTCAAAAATAAAATTTACTTAAAAAAATAAAATAATAAAGTTGACTTATCATATCCTATTTAAAGATAAATTAACTTTTTTAAAGTTATACACAAAGTTTGTAGTTTAGTTTTCAAAAAAATTTACAACAAATATTTTGACCAACTTATGTACGAAATACGAAAGAAAAATGATAAAAGAATTTAAAAATAAGCAAGATAAAAATTTTATAATTTATGTATTTATAGTGTTTTTTAAAATTAAATTTTTATTGTAATAATTTTTGTAATAGATGTTAAAATTAAAAATTATGAGTGATAATCTATTTAGTTCAAGAATAAGTTGTGAGAAATCTATTCAATAATTTATTATGGATTTTAAATTTTACTAATTTAACCAATTATTAAATTGAATGTTATCATTTGGTATATTAAAATTATAAAATTTTATACAATTTAAGAAATAGCTAATATTTCATCAATTAATTTTATTTTAATGAATATTATATTATATAAAATATAAGTAAATATTAATTTATCTAAATTTTATGTACATAATAATTAAAATAATATCACATAATTGAATAGAGTAAGTTATCAAAATTTACTTTTGAAGTAAATGGATCTTCGCCAAAAAATTAATGTTAATTAGTGTATTAGAATTTTAATATTAATTAAAGAACAGTGACTAGATTACTTAAAACATTATACATAAATTTTGTAATTAGAAATTTTTGTCATGTAAGTCTAAAAACATTACGGTTGAACGATTTTATGTTTTTACATAGATTTAGTATGAATTTGTAAGTATTTAATTTTAATATATTTATTTTGAAAATATTTTATTAATACACAGAGTTTCATATTTAATAAGCATTCATTATATTTAATAAATACAGTGTTGAATGTTGTTATGCAATAAACTTTATTTATATGTATAAATTTTAACAATTGCTACTGTCTGCAATATTTTTTTCAGATACTTTCAACTAAATTATACAAACTAATAAAATGCGTAATAAATGCTTCATAAAAATTATCAAGTGCCATACAAAATGGTTCTTTAAAACTTTTTAGAATGTCTTAGAAAATTTTGAAGTATATCAGAAGAAAAATGATAAACTGTCACTTGAAGTTGTATTTTACGCTTCAAAAGTAGACAAAACTTGAGTATAGTATTTCTTTTAGCATTTTGAGTATTATTTTAAATTAAAATTTTATTTTAATGATTTACATAATAAAAATTGACTTTTGACTCTAATTATTAAAAGGAACACTAAAAATACTTAAAGTAAAATTCATAAAATTTGTTCTTAAAAATTTTTGTCACGTAAGTCTAGTAACATTCTCTCAAGTTCTTGGGTGGGTAGGAATAGTCGATTTGCTTTTTAGTTCATAGACCAGATTCTGACACTTAAACGGTCACCCACCTGTGTTTCTCAACCTATTAATACCATCTTTGCTAGGAGGGTCATAATCCACCATAGTTCCATGCTTGTATGTTTTTCTTAGCATCATGAGAGGCATTATGTCACCGTAAGGTTCAAAAAAGTCCACAATCAATCCATGCTTTGAGAAATGAGAAGGCATCAAAGTTTCAAAGCAATGGTCCCACTCTCCCACTATGATTAAGATTCCCCAACTATGAGTTAGATAGGAAAAAGCCACCCTCCAAACCTTATCAACATCATAGAGTTAAAAAGGCAAATCCTCCTTACCTTTCTGTAAATTTGAAGAAAAAGAACTTCAACGGTTCCATTCCAAGTCCTTTTGGCAGCAAAATGAGATTTATTTCATGTAACGTTTAGCATATCAAATAAAATAGAGGCTTCTGTCTTATTCATCTACAAGCTTGATGAACCTATAAATCCAACATAGCTAATAAAAAACAACCAATTCCTTCTCATGCACTTGCAAAAACAGTTTGATTTCCAAGTCATTTCCTTAATCCTTTGACACCCCACACCCTTTTTTGAAGCACCCAATTAAAAAATTATATATATATATATATATATATATATATATATATATTTATAATCTAAGGAGAGAAGACAATTCAAAATGGGTTTGGAAAATTGGAACCATGTGACCTTGTTGAAAATTCTAGCCCCAAAAATTCTAACTTTTAAAGGCTAAATATACCCCTCCTTTATATGACTCCCCACCCACTTTTTTTCTTTCTCCAAACAGAGCTAGATCTGCTTCTTCAATTCATCACTGAGAAAAATGGAAGCTCTCTTTTCCCAATTCACCTTGCTCTCTGACCAAGCCTTACAAGACAAGAACTTTGATCCCTCCACAATTGAAGATCTAATGAAGCTGTTTGAGGTTGAATCATACAAGGCATGGGCAGCTGCTGAACTTGAGCAAGAGAAAGAGGTGGAAGAAGCAGAGGTTGCCATGCAAGAAGCTGAGGACTACCTTGAGTCAGTGATGGAAAGTGCCATGGATGAGTTTAGAAGATTTGAAGAAGAGCTAGAAAGGATGTCAAAAACTGAAATGGAAAGTTTAGTTCAAACTGCTCAGAGTGCCAGAAAAATGGGAAACTTGATGGAAAAAGCAGCTTCTATTGCTTCCAAGAGGTATATTGAGGCTGCCCTCAATTCAGCCACTGCTTCTATGAAATCGGCTTGGAAAGGACTCTCTTCTGGGAAGGTTCATCCTTCTTAAAACACCCTTTTCTTGTTATCATATACTATATTATTCAGTCCAGGTTAAGTTAAGCCTCCAATAAAATACTTCTCCTTTAGCCTTTCTTGTTATTTTCACTTCTTAATTACATTGCTGCTTTGGAAAAGAAGTGAAATTAGATAAAAGTTGTACCCAAATTGAGATGCTAAGCATTCATTTTCAGCCAGAAGTGTAAAAGAAAAAAGTGATTCACTGTCCTTCATACGTGGAAATTCATGATATTTTTTTGGTGAATCTATACAATACAAGGCTTTGTGATTCCAGCAGCTTAATCTTCAATATTCTGTGATGTATTTATTAAGTATTGCTTCTTTGATCCCTGATTCCTGAAGTAATTAAGGAGACAAATTTCTCCAATTTCCCTGGATCTTTCAGATTTCAATGTTCTAAAGCATGAAGATGAATCAAGTTTTGTTTTAAGATTTTGCAACTGGATGTATGGGATGCAATGCCCCTGATCCCAGTTCCATTTATCTCAGTGAAATGTGGAATTTTAACAATTTCCTTTAGTGCTAAGGAAGTGAGAATGAAACGTGTCTCCGGCTAGATGTTCATTCTTAAATGATAAATGCCAATCAGCGTTCAAGTACAAGTTCAGAAATTAAAAATATGTTTTTACATAAAAAAAATTGATTTTTAATAAAATTTTTCTGTTTATTAATTCTTTAAGCAGTGTTATAGATAACATTCACCTCCATTCTTATTTCAAGAATCTAATGAATTTTAATATTACTTGGTTCGAAATAGATGAAATTTGATCGTCCATTGCGTTAAGGTTGGTTTTATTTTATTTAATTTAATTATAAGTGTCGAAGCATATTAACTTCGTAAATTCTTATTAGAAAATTATTTGGTATTTGAAACTAACTCTTTTGTTTAGAAGATGTCGACGCGTATTAATATATCAGTTCACTCAAATATAGTACAGGAAGCATTTCTTTTTCCAGAACATTAAAGAAAGGAATTTTATTTCAAGTTTGTATTGGAAATTTGAGGTTTAAAAACCAAAACAGAAATGAATTTAACAATCTAAAAGTTGAGTGTTCATTTTGGATTGATGTTGATTCCACTGTGATCCCTTAATTTTTTAAAAAATGAAACCTAATTATAAATGAAAATTAACTGTGTTAATTGTTTAAGAATTTATTTAAAAAAATTAATTTTGTAAGAACCCAATTAATAATTTTGTAAAGATACTGATTAGTTTTACCTAAAAATAACCTTTAATTTTATTATTAAAATTTAAAAGTTTAATAAAAATCAATGAAGCAACACAAATTTAACCAACTAAATATTAGTTGGAGGACAACTTAAGGTTATATATATTGGGAGAGTATTTTTTTATATTAGTCTTTTATTTAACTTAAATTTAATAGATTATACTTTATTATTTTATTGACTGTTAAAGATAAATTAAATGAAAGATTTAAATCGAAGATAAATTTTTAAATTTATATTAATATTATTTTATATATATATATATATAAAAGAATGAGATAAAAAAAATTATAATAAATAATATAATATAATAACAAAAAGGTGTATATAAAAATAAAAATTCACCTAAAATTTTTCTCCTATGCCAATTCTTCACACCCTTCCTAAAAAAAATTAGTTAATATCGATTACTAAATGAAAAATGTAAATTAATTTATCAATTGCTAAGAAGCATTAAGCTGATTTTTCTCACAAACTAGATGGAATTTTAAACTAGTTTAGCAAAAATAACAGAAACGCTCATAAAAAAAATGACATATAAAGATATACAAATAAATTTTTATTAAAAATTATAATATTTAATATTATTAATATATTAAATCTTTTGATATTAATATTATGTTATTTTTTTAATAAAAAATTTACTATGTATATTTTTGGTGTATATTTTAAGACACATTAAAAAAAAAAAAGATGACGTGGTGTATTTATGTTGGGCTCAAAGCTAAATGACTATTTTGAGAATCACATAGGGGCTAAGGGCCCGATGACCCGATCATGGTTTTTTTAAGCAAAATTCTTTGGGTCTTTTTAGTCAAACGGTGCGTTTAGAGTTGGAAAAATGAAAAATAGAAAATTTATTTTGGTCAATCTTCCTTCTTCGTCTTCTTCTATCGTCGTTGTCTTCTTTCATCGTGTTAGGGTTTGCAGAGTTCCAATTTACTCTCATTTTTACATAGCAATACCTCCGTAATTCATTTTTCGAAAACTCGAAAAATCCTAACATAGCACGATATCTCGTTCCTTGTTCTGATTTTGAAGATCCCCTGATTTTTTCAGGTGAAACCTTGTTCTTAGTTTTTGTTTTCTCTTTTATTTCAAATCCATGTCGCTTTAATGACTAAATTGGTGTACGAATGATGTACAGAAAGGTAACCCCTTTGTCGTTCTGATTCTTATGCATTCCAAATTTCATCTACTAATGATGATCGTTTAATAACTCCATAATCAGTTATTAATTATCTTCTTAACTAATCAATTTGTTTTTATATTTGTTTTGCAGGGAAACTATATAATTTTTTTCTTCGTTTCCTTTGTATAAATCTCTTAGTAAAAAAAAGTATCTTAAGCTTATTGGAGATCAAGGATTAAGAGATGCCTCGAGACTTGTCGCGATCCCGATCGCCTCCTTATAGGCGTAGGCATTCACCATCTCCTGTGGGACACAGGTATAGCAGGAGGAGCAGAAGAGACAGAAGCAGATCTCCTTATTCATCTTACTCTTACAGCAGGTGACCCCGTTTGAATGTTTATTTTTGTTTATGGTATATCTCGTATTCGGTTAGGGTAATTGGGATTCTAATGTTTTATAAATTATTTGCTATGTATTTTAACCTTTCATTTGTTGGTATTTTGTTGTTGTTCTCTTTTACAATGTATACTGTGTAGTACGGTGTATGTTTATTGTGTTAGATTTGCTTTCAAGGACTTTATAGAATTATAATATTTGATATTTCTACCAAAATTGGATTGTACTTGAACTTGAGAATTTGACTAGGGTTGTATTGTTGGTTTGAGGTTAACTACAAGGCAAAATTTACAAAACAATTTGTTTTTCTGGGCTTTTTTCCCTTTCCATTTTATTAGCATCTTATTCAGATGCCAAAGAAATTACAAAATTTGGATTTATTTGCTGGAGTATTTGTGGATAACTGACTCTTTTTGTTTGAAGAAATGTGCTTGATGCTTTCAGGATTACAGAGATATCATCATATATTTATGACCAAAACATGTAGGTCAAAGTTGAAACCCATGGTTGATAATGCTATGAATTGTTATTTAAATTCAATATCCTCTCGGTATTTGCTTATCATTTGCCTCTATTTTGTACATGCTCAAGTGGACAAGAATAGACAAATTTCTTTTATTCTGCTGTGTGGGTTCTCTTTTTCTGTTGAGCTTATTGAGCCACTCGATGTTTACATACTGTTTTGCTGGATGATTGATATTGCTAATATTCAAGTATTTGACAGGCTTGTCAATTGTCATAAGTGTCTGGTTTTGGTGTTTCTTACATTATAAGACTTTGTATTGAGTTTCTTTCTTTTGTGGGGTTTCCTATTTATATGCAAAGGTGGAAACTCATCAAGAACAACACATATAGAGCATAACATAGAGAACAAGATAGGATATATGCTGTTTATAACAAATTAAAAAAATATCAGTCTCTTCCCATAACATGGGAAATGAGGGATATGCACAGGTGGTGGGTGCTGATGGGGTGTTTTTTCATTGCTCGATTGTGACATTTGCTTCTTCATGTGGTAAAAGATGGAGCACACAATGCTTATTCTTTGCAATTTCTGAGGTAACTGTACATGTTTCTGTATTTAAGAGTAAGTGTGCTAGATGGTGGGCAGGATTTATATTCTCTAAATATAGCTGTTTAGTTTCTGAGGTTCATTGCTTATTATGATCATCTGTGTCATCATATAGGCGAAAAAGTCGTTCTATTTCACCTAGAGGCCACAGAAGTCCTTCTACAACTCCAAGACGTCGTAGAAGCCGATCTCCAACTGCTAATCGACACAGAAGGCACAGAAGTAGGAGTTCCTCACTGTCTCCTACTCATAAATCTTCCAGTTCAAGCCTTGGGTCAGTAGAGCAGAAAACTGCTGTTGAAAAACAAAAGAAAGAAGAAGAGAGGAAAAGGTAGATTAAATGCTTATCGTTTTGTTCTAACTCTACTTTTTCTTCACTTTTCCTTCAATTATGCTTTAAGATGGAAACAATGGGTACTGGGTAGGTTCTTCTAGTTTATGATGAGAATTTCTGGTTTTTATGCGTAACTTATAATTTATTGCTAGAACTTTGGAATATTGACATTATTAAATGTGCATCTCTCTCATATGGAAAAGGTTGCATATTATCAGTAAGACAGAATGCCTGGAAAATTAGGAAATGAAGGTTATTTTGGTAAACTTTTTGTATTTTGTTTTCTACTTTTTTGGTGAAATAATTCTAGTCTCAAATTTCCCACCTATGATAATGCTTATTTTAAACATTGGCATATTCTATTTTCGAGTGGCCTAATAATGTTCTGACTTCTGATATCTATTGATTTATATAATGCTTAATTTCATGTTGCATATTACGTGTTGGATATAATTCAAGACAATTGCATTTGAGAATACACATTTTTCTTTGTTTTGCTGTTATCTATTGGCTAATGTCTATGCTATTAGATGTTGAGTCTTGCAGTTGCCCCCTTTTCTTTTCTATCTCTCTCCACCTGCTAATTACCAAAGCTTTATAATTTGATCAGAATGACTTGTTGCCTAGTTAATGCTTCTCTTGTCTGTAAGGAAAAGAAACATAGAAGAATAGGATATTACATCTATTTCTTCCATTGCATTTCTTATGAGACAGATCTTGTCTGTGTCGCCTTTGTGAGTTGAACATGCTTTTTGCTGATGGTTTATCATATGAATTTGTAAAGGAATTGAAAGCTCTCCCAATATAATGTTTTCCTTACTTTTTTCAAAGCATTACTGTTTTGGTTGTTTGAGGATGATTTCTCAAATTCTTATCCTCCTATCATTTTCCTTTGAAAATTATTCTTTTATTGCAGAAACAAATTCTTTTATCCTTTAGATGCAAAGTTCATCATTTGTTGCATTTTGCATTTCAGTTATAATTTCAACCCGACACTTATCAGTATAAATCTCTGGCTCTACAGAGTAAATATTATTTTCAATAGGATGAACATATGGTTCTTTTCCTTCTTAATTGTTTTGATGCTTCTGGCACATTACTAACAAAAGAAATTGACCTATCTTACAACAACTACCTTGTCAAAGATGTTTAGTGTAAAAATTCTAGTATTACCATGACTAGTTTAAAACTGCAGCACGTTACTTGAATTTCTTCTCCACAGGCATGTCTGAAGGAAGGTACTGCTATTATTCAACTTGTTATGTTTGATGATCAAATTGGCTGCCTCATTTATCTACTGTTCACCAGTTTTGAAACTCATTTGTTTGGATCAGGATTCAATAGAGGTATGCCTTAAAAGCATAACCATTTTTTTAGTGCCATTGTCATCATGGAGGTTAGTTTGCCATTGATTGTGGTTTTTTATTAAGTAGTTCAGGAAAGGGTAAAAAGAAAAAGGGAGAAAAAATAAAGCAGACATGTCTATTATCCAGTTTATATGTTAATTGCCCAATATCAAAAACATTGGAGTCCACTTATGTGTGGCATTTCCCCCTGTTCTACTGGCCATTTTCCTGTGTAACATTTTGTATGCTTTCACAGGCGTCAACAGGAAGCAGAGTTGAAATTAGTAGAAGAAGAGACTGCAAAGAGCGTTGAAGAAGCAATTCGTAAGAGAGTTGAAGAAAGCTTGAATTCTGAGGAGGTTCAGGTGGAGATTCAAAGGCGGTTGGAGGAGGGACGGAAGAGACTGAATGATGAAGTTGCAGCTCAACTTGAAAAAGAAAAAGAAGCTGCTCTTATTGAGGCTAGACAGAAGGAGGTACATGTCTCAAATCACTTTCTACTCCAACTCGTCCTTTTCTCTAGTGTGTCGGTCATACGACTATCATACTCCTAATTTGACAAAACATTAGTCTTGCTTTGGGGAAAAATTAAGTTTGAAATTTAAACAATTCCTTTAATCTTTCAATTTGTAAATTTTCTGATTTGATTGATGTATGGATCTTTACCTTAAGGTGATCGTATGATGTTACTTGTTAATTTGTACGTTCTTTACAAAACATTTTAAGGTCTGCGTTAATATTTTCATTCCTTTGAATTTTGATATTCTGAAGAGAAGCTTCTAATGTTTTTCTCCCTTGTTTATCAAAAGAGCTAAGTCAGACTGATGTATGCATTCAAGACTTCAACTTCAGTTGTGGTTCTGCACTGCATTTCTAGCAGCACGTTTTTCACAGCTGAAGCCACTGGGAAACGTTAATCACTTACTATATTACGTATGTTAATATGCAGGAACAAGCCCGTAAAGAGAGAGCAGATCTTGAAAGGACACTTGAGGAGAACCGGAGGAAGATTGAAGAAGCCCAAAGAAGGGAAGCTTTAGAGCAGCAAAGAAGGGAGGAGGAACGATATAGAGAACTAGAAGAGATACAGAGACAGAAAGAAGAAGCCATGCGAAGGAAGAAACAGGAGGAGGAACAAGAACGTTTAAACCAAATAAAGTTGTTGGGTAAAAACAAATCCCGACCAAAATTGTCGTTTGCTCTTGGATCCAAATGACACTGGGCGACCCGTGTTTATTTATTTAATCTAAAGTGTGTTTGGGCTTAATTCCTATTTGCATATGTAATTTGAGGAAATAACACAGCCTCCTCAGCTTTAATGTGACACTGTTGTTACTGTTTCCAGTTTGCGTTAGATTTTCAATGCTTCTTATGACCACTTAATTATCCATATGCATGGTTATCGTATTTTAGCCGCAAAAATACAGTTACTCGTGAGATAGCACGCTGAGGGAGACAAAAATATTGTGGACGGTCAAAGAATATAGCATTCCTTGAGCCATCGTTTGGAGCGATAGAAACGTCGGAGAAAGAAAATATAAGTGAAAGTTTGTATTCTGTGAACGTAATTCGTCTGAATGGGAAAAAGAAAATAACGGTTGACCTGAAATAATATTCTGTCCTGGACTAGCGAGAATATTTTCTGAAAAGGTAAGAAAATGGATGGTAGAAGGAAAAAAAAAACTTGATGAAATAACAGATTTCCTTTTTAATTATTTTTTGTTACATTGTAAAGATTTAAATATCATTTAATATAATTATTTTTACCTTCTTTCTCTCTTCTTTTTATTATATCAAAATACTAAAAGATAAAATTAAGTTTTCGTTATATATTTTTTATTGCAATTTGCTCTTGGTTCCCAAATAATGCATTCTTACCTTATTTGGATGTGCATGTAAGGGTACCCACGATACTTCCGTTCTTTTTCGAAGACATTACTGAATCTGAACGCTATGAAAAAAATAGCAATGAAATGCGACAAAAATTATTTATAAAATGGCTTGGCATAATTTCCGTTAAAATCTAAGTTCTTTTTGTTTAATCACTCAACTAAGTAAATTTATCTACTTAATTCATGTAGAATTGTACAAGATTTTTTTATTTTTTTTTCATATCGAGTAGCAACAGTGTTTTCCCAAAGCGTAAGGAATCATGTTACAATTTTGATTTAAAAAATTCTCAGTTGATTAGTACCAGTAGACATCATGTTGCAAAGCTTAATGCTATGTTTGGATTTGAAAATAAAATGAGAAAAAAGTATAAATGTGTAATTTAAGAGAGAGAGAGAGAGATAACCACAATAAAAAATATTTTTTTTTTCAATATAATAGGAGATAGGTAAATCTATTGTTTTTTTTTTCTTTTTTCTGAAAAAAAATAAGAGTCTCACATATTCTTTTATTTTTTCTCATCAATCAAATGATCGAAAAATGTATCTTTTTTATTTATTTATCTTCTCACTTGAGCTAAATAAGACTTCAATAAAGACTAATTAATGTATAAATATATGTTGTTGTGTAAAAATGTTCAATATTTTAATAAATACTATCTTTGAACTTATTTACAGGAAATAACTACTAAAATATTTTAATCTAAATATAAGAAACAAATATTCTTTTTTTAAAATATATTAATTACAATTTTTAATTTATTATAAGATTTAGTTTAATAAAATACTTATAGATAGATATATTCATTTAACATATAACATATTAATTTAACTATTAGTATTATAAAAATTTCTAAAATAATATATAAATTTATAACATATAATACTTTTATTGGTCTTCATAAATTAAATGCTTATTTATAAATTAGATTTATAACATTCTCATTTCAAAATGGTATTAGTGATAGATTATTAATTGATGCTAGATGATATTGGAAAGTATTAAGGAGGATTTTAAGTGTTTAACAGAGTTTTGAGTGTAGGAGAATCTCGCTCAAGCGAGATATGCCTCACTCAGGCGAGATTGCATGTCCAGAATCATCCCTTTTCTGGAACGTTCTCGCTTAAGCGAGATCAATCTCGCTCAAGCGAGAATAGATTAGGTCACCTCAATCTTCACCTTGCTCAGGCGAAAAGAAACTCACTCAAGCGAGAAATCGCAGGAAAGTCTAAAACTCTCATGACACCCAGCTCATTCAAGTGAGGAAGGCCTCGCTCAAGCGAGAATATCAGAAAATGCGTGAAGAGCCGCTATCTGCATAGCTCACCCAGGCGAGGTACTCGTTGTTCAAGTAAGAATGCGCAAGGTCCGGGCTATTTAAAGTATCTCAAACATAAAATTTTCATTTCTCTCAATCTCTGTCTCGGTTCCTTTTGTTCTCTTTGATTTCTTACTCCTTTTTCTTCTAAAAATTCTCTCCAAATTGCGATTATTAGCCGGATCCAAGTTTGGACACCTAATCTAAGTAATCCCAAGTAAGTTTTCTTGAGTTTATATATAGATTTACCAATCATTTCTGTCTAAGTTCTATTTTTAAAGGTTATCTCATGTTGTATAGGAAGAACTTTCTTTTTAAGCGATCATCTTCATCAAACTCCTTTTAGATCTTTATATCGAGGTAAGGAGAGTTCAATTCTATCATTAGAACATAGAAATATTTATACTCATGAGACACCAATAGTGTTTGGTTCTATTGTGAAATTTGTATACATAAAAATAAAATTCTTAAATATTATGATAGGTTGATGATGTATATTTCTTTAAATTTAGGAGGTTCAATGGACGATAACTGATTGTTTTGATATATTATGAAATATAAATTGATTGTAGTATTCGATTTGGATTGAGTCCATAGTTATCCAATCTCTGGCAAAATTGTTAATTGATGGTCAAATTATATGTGCGAATCGTATAATTATATGATTGTTGAATTTGATTGAAAGTTAAATATATATAAAAATGTGTTAAATGATGAATAGTATGCATGAAATGTATATGATATGTATGATATGTATTGTTGTGAAAATATTTTAAATGAAACTGAATCTGAGAAGTATGGAATTTTGATGAGATTGTAAAGTTATGAGATGTGTGCTTACAATGCAAGATTTGGTAGCCAACAAATTGATGTGATTGTGATACAGGTATTGTCACACATCAACGGGTGTATTTACAATATATGTATCGTAATACATTAAATTCGATGGTTATAATACGTGTATTGTAACATGTTGATATGTGTATGATATATGAATTAATGAGAAAGGAAGTAGTGTGAATAGTCACAACGATACACTGGGGTATGGAATAAGGAGCCGATTTATAAAGTTGCGAATCCATCGTATGGCCACGCGTTTCTTGACTAACACTTTTGACTGTACTTTTGCTAAGGGACCTTATAAGTGTATACGTTGTATCTGTGTGCATGGGTTAACCAGCAACTATTCACCTATTAAGTAAGACCTCATGAAATGCTGGAGGCAACTATGGAATGTGATTACATTGTATAAGAAATTGTTGAGTTGAAATTGAAAGTAATTGAATATGTTATTAATATATATAAGAGTGATGAGATAATTGGATCATAATTAATGATGTAAAGTTTTATTAAAGTTGATATAAGCATTAGCATAGAATTTGATGCACCTGAATTACTACAACTGATGAAGGGATATTTTATTAAATCTTATATGAATATGATATAAAATTATACTTATTGTTATGTTTTAATAATAAGAAAGAAACTCATCCTTACAAAATATTTCAGGTAACGGGAATGAGGGTTAGGAACAAATTCTCATGTTTGGGCATGGATTAGAACTACTCTTAGAAAAATTTTGTTCATAATAATCTTGTAATTAAAAATTTTACATTACATATATATATATATTGGTTAATAATTTGTAAAGAGTATGTTTTCATATATACAATTTAATTTTAGTGCCTATGCACTTTATGTTATTCTAATTTAGTAATATTATAAAATTATAATTAGATTCAGATTCTTTTACTGTTCAAATTAATTGTAAACATGTTTGAAAGAGTAAGATTTAGATTTTTCACATGCTAAAATTACTCGTTTTGGTCAAAAACTAATTTTATAAATTTGATTTAAAATTTAAAAATATTTAAATTACTATTTGTAATTAAAAAATTAGCTTGTTTAATTGATTTGTTATAAATTATTATTTATTTTTTAAAATTTAAAAAGTAGAATGTTACAAGATTGGAAGCATTAGTTTGCAAAAGTTATAAAATAAATTTTTTAATAATATAATAAATAGCCAGTTAAAATACATTGTAAACGATATTCAAAGTAAAAATTCAACTCATCACTATTATGTTATTGTTATTTTTTTTATTTTTTTTATGTAAAAGTTAATATTTTTAAAAAAAGTCTCTAAAAAAAATTAATATTACTTTTTCTTTTGATCTTTCCCTTTCAAATCCCTTTATTCAATTTGCTCTTCAATTAAAAATCTTAACTCTAGGAAATTCTACGTTCAAATTGGAGAAAGAAGCAAAATATAGAAGTTCTGTTTCTTTGGTTTGTAAAGAGTGGTGCAATGCTGAGAGATGGTAAATGTGGAATGTCTTCATAGGAATTGTTATTTTGTGTCATGAGATCTTGACACATAAGTCCCCAAACATTTGCAATGTTACTTTTAAAGAGAAGCTTCGTTTCGCCATTTCAACATGATTCATACTAGTTGGAGAGCTATGGCTTGTGGTGTTTGCTGAGAAGTATCCTTTGCTTGAGGAGCTGAGACTTAAGAGAGTAACTATTATTTAAGGACACTTGTGGATGGTTATGCTTCCTTTTCTATATCCTCTTCATTTGTAACTGTAACCTTATAATCGGATAAAAAAGGACTAAGGAAGGATTCCGAGAAGTTGGGGGTTTTAATTGAGGAGTTTATAGGTTGAATTGAAGAAAAAGGTTCACAGGTTGAACAAAGGGCACGACGGAGGCAAAAATAATATTAATTTTTATTTACTAAAATATAAAAAATAATAATGATGAGTTTATAATAAAGGTAAATTTTTGTTATCCAATTTATTACTTAATAAAGCGTAGTTCACGATAAAAATTAAATTTTTATATTTTTAGAGACCAAATTTTACAATGTTTTTACATCAAAAAATGCTACTAAAAAATTGAAATTAAAAATTATTTTTTTATATATGAAATTTAAAAATAATATATATTAAAATATAATTTTTTGAAAATATTACAAAAATATAATATTTTAAAATTGTCAATAATATTTTTAGTGTATACAAAAAAATTAAAATTAAAAAGAATGAAAAAAGTGGTAAAGTATAAAAATTTGTCAATAATAATTTTTAAAAAATATATAAAAAATAAAAATTTTGCCAACAA